TACTTGCTGATGTACTTAGTCGAACTAATGCACAAAATTATATTAAACCACCATTATTTAATACTGTCTTTACTCCAATTATTGGTCATCAGAGTTTATTAGTTGCTGAAGGTAGTGAACATGAACGAGCTCGTCGAATGATTAATCCTGCTTTTCATCATGTTAATCTTAAATCAATGATTTCAATTATTACTGATCAAACTGCTAAAGCTATTCAAGCATTATTCAATGCATCCAACTTAGATCAATCAAAACAAAAATTAGTTGATTTACAAATTGAATTTAATGCATTGACATTATCTATTATTATATCAAGTGCATTTGGATCAGGCTGTGAAACCATTAACAATAGTAAAGAAGTCATTTGTCAAAATTTTGGTAAAGTACTTGATGCTATTGTTTATCGTTCGTTAATAATGGTTAATCAAATACCTCTTATATCAAAGTTACCTTTTTGGAAGAAAGATGTTGTTGATATAGGAACTCGTATGATAGCTGAATTGATTGATAAAATAATTGCTGATCGAAGAGAAGGTCGATCCACTAGTTTATCTAGTGGTGCTGATCTTCTTGATTTACTTCTCTCAGCTGTTGATGATGATGGACATCCGTTTACTGATCAACAAATCAAAGACCAAGCGCTCACTTTTGTACTCGCTGGTAGTGAAACTACTGGAACTCTTATGGTATGGATATTTTATATTTTGATGACTCATGATGATGTTTTACAAGCTTGTCGAGAAGAAGTTGATAGAGTTCTTCCTAATGGTATAGAACCTACCAATGAACATCTAAATGAATTGATTGTATGTGAAGCAATAATTAATGAAACACTTCGTCTTTATCCACCTGCACCACACTTTACACGTTATTGTATACGTGAACATACTATAGGTACTGAACGTCAATTACGAATACCAGTAGGAACTACTGTTATGATTAACAGTTATATTGTTCATCGTCGAAGTGATTTATGGTCTCGATCACTTGAGTTTGATTACACTCGCTGGATGCGTGATCCAAAAACAGGTCTCAAGCCAAAGTTACCTCATCCGTTTGCTTATCTTCCATTTGCTTCTGGTTCTCGTAATTGTATTGGACAAAATTTTGCGTTATTGGAAGCAAAAATGATGTTAGCTATGTTTGTTCAACGATGTAATTTTGAGTTAGTACCTGGACAAAAAATAGTGCCCGATTTTAAATTAGCAATGTATCCGAAATATGGGATTTTGGTTAAATTTAGTAGCCGACAAATATAACGTTATACCCATCGTACGTTGAATAATTGTTTCGAAAGAAGAAACTCATTGCCTTTTTGGGTGTGGGTATAGGTGTGGCTGTAGGGGTGTGGGATGTGGGTGTGGGTGTGAGTGTTCTCTTTTCATATATACCCACACCAAAAATGACGGTAAGATTGCAACAGTAGTTCCTTTCTTCCATTCTGTCACTTTTTATCAAACAAACCCGAGAGACAAGTGTCAGTGTGAAACGAAAAATTACGAATTCAATTTCACTAGTTCTCTGGTTGCTGTTGTCATTCTTATCGAACGAGAGAGAGAGAGAGAAAGAACAAATTGTTCTCATTGGATATGAAGGTGAATTACTGTGTGTAAGTAAAATGTGTTGTGACATGATTGTGCAAGAACAAACTATTTCTAGTATCGTAAGCAACGTTGCAACCGGATTGTTTCAATATTTGTTTATCTTCTATTAGTTGCCTTTCATCTTCGTTGCAACATTTGTTTTCTTTTCTCTGTGCATATAAAAAAACACGTTTTCATCGTCAAAAATAAGTTGTATTGATACAAAAATGTCGTCGATTGAAGAATATGAATTATTGAAGAAACGTGGTACATGGACTGATCGTCTGATATATATTCGATCATTACCGGATCGAACACAAATCGAAACCCATTTGAAACAATCGGTATCTGATGATGACTTGCAAATGTTTTTGTTTTTCTCGTTGTCGACCAAAAATCAGGCAAATCTCTTAGATATATTCAATGCCGATAATTTACCCGTTCGACAACGTGGTAAAGCAGCTGAAGCTTGGCTACGTCTTGAAGTCGATGAAAAACAAGTGCATCAATTTGTCATCAATGCTATAAATAATAAGAATATTCCTCGACGGTAAAATTTCTGATCATTTGCTTTGTCTTATTTGATTTGATTTGATTTGTTTAGAATCAAACATCATATTCTTAAATCTCTACATAAAGAATGTCGTTCGAAGAAATTCTCGACGTCATTCTATTACAATCTAGCTTGTACTTTGACGTCATCTATTGATCATAATCAATTTAATATCGATGCACATACATTGCCGTACTGTTCAACTACTGAACAAATTGAGGATCTACTCTCACGTTGGTCAATTTCTCGTTTTGATCAAATTGAAAATACGTCACCGTTACGTTCGAAATTGCTTCGCTATCAAACGCTCATCGCCATTCGATTGATCAAAAATGATTTAGCATCAAAATACAACGTTAATGACGAACTGGAAAGTTACTTTCGAAATAATCGAGAACTCTTTCTTTTTCTTGCTCAACAAGAACCAAAGGTTATGTGTCGTTTTGCCATCGAGCATTTGAAACGATTGGATAAACACAAACGAATTTTGCCAGAATTTATTTATGAGAAACAAAAACGAATGTTTGCTAAAGCACCAGATGAGATGATCGAATTGATTAGCTTGACCGCTACTTATCAGCCAGGTTAGTAACAAAGGCATAATTTCTACTTTGTAAAACATGATTATCAATGAGTGTTGAAATCTTTCTCATTCAGGTACGATCAAATATCAATCGAGATTGGATTATTCCAGTTGGAACATCGATACATTTTCTATTTCTCGTTCGTTTTCAATTGATCATTATGTTCGACTCTTCTTCGTCTTGTACGACACATGCAAGTGGTCATTGAATCATCTGCCTAAAATTCTCCACTTCATGTTACGACTTCAAAACAAGAATCTTTACACCATTCGTAAGCAATCCAAATGGTTCTACGAAATTGTTGTGCAACAACGAATTGGTAAGGAGGAATTTTTGAAAAAATTATTCAAGCAAGACAACAACATTTGTCTGACTTTGTTGGCCAACTATCCTAATTTGAGTGCACCATTGGCTCGTCACCTACTTACCCAACTTGAACGTGTGAAGATCGTCGACGCGACAGAACGTTTAGATTTTCTTCGCTATGAACCTATGACATCAGAAATTTTCGATCAATTTTTATCACTCTTCAAAGAGGTCGGTTCGGATGTTAATCAACGCAGAAAAAATTATCCGCTTCTGCTTCAATGTGCCGTTCTCACTAGTCCAGATCAAGTCCTCAAAGTTCTCCAATGGATTGCAAAACGTTTTGTCAATGAACAATTGATAGTGATAGAACATTTTATCGGACATCTAAAGAACTACGACGATCGATTTCATCTACAAGTTGTACCGAAAAATTTGGAGACTATTGAAGAATTAATGAATGTGGCATTCAATCATTTGCAACACACATCAAATACCATTCAAATCATTGCTGATTACGCTATCATGTTGCTCAAACGAGCTGAATATTATCGAAATATGGATGAACGAAAGAAATTACAAGATTTCGTGTGCAAAATCATCAAACGGTTAGTGAACTTATTAGCCTAATATAATTATTTTCCAACGAATAGAAATAGTCAATTTTTTTCAGATGTTATTCTATCGATAACAAGATTTCACTACATGGTTGTTTATTGAATCGTTCGCTGCCAATGGCATGTACTTTACTTGCCGACATTTTGGTTAACGATGTCTTTCCAACATTGATCTCGAAAGGTCTGATCGATGAATTAGAGAATCTGTTGACAAGGGCTTTTGATGATCCCTGGCGTCAACCACAAATCGATAAATTTCTTGCATCATTCTTCTTCGACCAGTTGCGGACATCAAATAAACTTCAAGCGATATTCAAAATCAACGAAAGATCTTCATTAATTGAGATGCTTCTAAAACAACGCTCTACTCGATTGGAACGAGTGCAGCAATTGATAACTCAAATCGGTGAGATCTTTCTTCTCAATCCTATTGTGCAACAGGTCGTTGTCAAGTCTGGACAATATCGATCACTCATTGATCGATTGGTGCGAAACGATAAATCAGTTACCGTTGATCACTTGGCTAATGAAGAGAGTAAACTTTTCATGTGTTTGGATTCATCAACAAAGAATGCCAAAATGCCTGGCTTGAGCGTGGATACACTCAATACGTACTACAATAAATTGACCGGTGAACAACAAGAACATATAACTAAGATAATTCTCGATGATTATCTTAAGGTGTGTAACTGCAAAAAAAAAGTTGACTGAAGAGAGATAATCTTTGTGTTATAGGACAAAGAAGTGAGCAATTTGAATAAATTGAAAGCACTAAGAGTCATTCGTCGAATGATACACACATACAAATTCACACTTCAATGGATTAACAACCGACAACAATCATCGGCTCCTTCGCTCACCACTAAAACATCTAGAGTCCATTGTATTCGAGGTGCCGATGCTCAATCAATTGACGATATTATCATTTGTTTACCGGCATCGTTCGATCTATCACGAGAAGATCTCATTAAACAATTCGATCTACTCAAAGTTCAATTGAATGCTAGCAATGCCAAATACGTGAGCAATGCTATGTTGGCAATCTCACGAAAATTGCCCGATGAAATTTTCCTTAATATGTATCTCGACTTTGTACGCAACGAACAGTTTCAGAAACTAGGTGAGTGAATCCATCAATGGAGAATCTCTCAGTGATCATATTATGTTATAGGAATTACTGCAAACAAAGAAATACTCCGTCTATTGATTCAGTATCGGAATGAACCGACGCTGATCAACATAGTAATTCAACCGTTGTGGGCTACTCGACCCCATCAAGATGTACGTGCCTGTCTGATTGCTGCTCTTCTCCATTTTCTCGACAAGTCAGGCAGAAATGAAACATCTCCGATTTGGTCAATTCTCGATCAAGCGGCACACGATGACTATTTGCCAGTGATACATACACTGTTTGTTCATACTCGAGGTGAACCCCAATGGCTGTTGACACATTTAGCCAATTCTGGCGATATTCTCTTTCAAAAATTTGTCGAGCGAATTCAATTTCGTGTCTTAGACCATCCAAACAAGTTAGAAGCAAAAGTTTATGCTTGGTTAAGAATCGATTATAAATATTGTAATGCAACAACATTGTTCAACAAAGCCAAGGAATTATGTATCCAATTTGATAAAGATGCAAATACCTGTTGGGAAACAGCTTTTGGAAAGATCATCGCTTGCTATAAACAACAAAAGTAAGTTCTTTTTCGATCATCATGTATAAATTGTTATCGATATATTTAGGCCATCATCAAATATCCTTGTTGATCTCGTTAAATCGATTATGTCTCGTCGTGAGGAAGTGGATGGTACTCAAAATGCAATTGACTATGCACATGACATGCCGGTTTACCATCGTGTTCATCGTCTACTCGATTTGCTTGTCTCGCAAATGGAAGAACTGAGCACGGGGAGCGAAGAATCTCTCCGTGTCATTACTAGCCTTGTTCTACAGTTCGAGGCTACTTTGGCTCCGGTAGTCGGAGAAATTCTGATCAGATTGGCAAAGAACAAGGAAGATTTACACGCAGTACTTATTCATCTACAGAAGAATTTACTCGATGCCCATTTTCAGCGAGTGATCTGTGAACTAGGATCAAAGCTCGGCAAAAAAGATCGTTTCTGTCCGTTTATCGAACAATTGAGTATTGACGAGAAATTCGAACTGGTTCAATGGTTTGTCCGAGAGAAGCAGCAAGAATCGTTTGTCGTCGATCTTTTCATCGAGAAAGTCTTGAAAGAAGCAAGTGTTGACCGAGAACAATGCCAAATTCTACTTCGTCAAATTCGACAAAGTAACAATATGTATGCACGACAACAAGCGCTTGAATACACGGTTACTTGGCGGGAAGATGGAGCAGTCCATGATAGTGATGAAATGAGCATCTCTCACAATTCGGACATGTCTTAAACATACATTTCACATCATTTTTTTAAATACATTGAGTGTGTATTTTTTTTATTAACTATACCAAATAGCTAATTTTTAATTCTTAGATAAGAAAAAACTGCCTTCTTAATGCCTCTTTGTTCATTATTGTACACAAGAAATCACTAATATATCGAGCATTTATTCTGTGATTTGAATATTGAACAAGGTTTAGAAACATGTATGGCTTCGGTTAATACTGTGTTGGACGATATATTCATTCGTTCAGCTAGTTTATATTTCAATAACAATTGTGGACTAAATAGATATCTAGACTGCACTCTCATACTACATGGACTTTAGAAATAGTAAGACACACGAACTACTAGTATGCAATGGTACTATTCACTTTCTCTGCAATACAAGTCACTTGATTACAAAATGAAAGAAAAAAATATACCGGTTGAAATCAAAAGAAAACATATAATAATCATTGTTCTCACACTAGTGAACAACAAATAGATGAGTAAATTATCACGTAGCTATCATTAAAAAATTTTGTAGGGAGGAGACATCTTCAAATAATTCAGAAAAAAAACGTATATATGATATTCTGGTAATATAAGAATAGATTGATTGTATCCGATCTTAGTATCTCACAGCGAAAGTCATATTTCTCGTTTGAACTTTGGCAAACCGATACATACTCAAGCTTCGATATGAATGTACCAGCTCCAGACGTTTGCTTCAAAACCGACTGATGAAAAATCCTTGTACACATAATTTAAAGAGACCTTTCAATCGCATGACAGGAGAAAGACGCGGGAGATTATTCCTCTGTCTCGTCGTTTGATATTATCAAATAGCTGATCTTTTTTTGTTTGTTTCATTTATGTGAAGATTAACATTACTGTGATCGAAGAGAATAATTCTCTTTCTTCAAAATATTATTCATTTGAATATCACGATAGTGAATTCTGTTTTCTTCGATTGGTAGGTTGCATTTTTACGTATCGCTCTCTTTATCAGCAAGCATAAACATGAGCATTCGCCGTCAAATTGTGCAAATCCATTAAATTTTGAAAACGCATAGAGAGAACAAATAGGTAGAAAACTGACTTGATACATATCAACATTTTCTCTGTCAAATTTCGTAATGAAGTTGTGAAAAGTGAGTTCTAATTTAGGACATGCACTCGATCACACATCAAATTCAGGTACGCATCGTCACTCTCAATGAGCATACTTTCAACGAGTATCCAGAATGTGTGCTCGATAGACGAGCTGACACAAGTACAACTTAGAAACAAATCACTAACTGATGAACTGGTTGATGCTAATATGGAAGAAGTAAGACAAAAAATCATATCCACACTAGCGATACAACAGGGACAGTGAATCACCGCTCCACTGTCATTAGTCCACCGGTTCAAACAGGTAATCGATTTTTACCAGTACGGGCGTGTGGGTGTGGAGAGGATCAAGATGCGTACCCGTACCCTTATTTAATAAATATGATAGTCAATAGAAATCTTTCTCTAATTATTTTCGTACATCCATATATATACTCTAAAACAAAAGATTGTTGTACAAATAAAACATACACTTTATTTATTATGTTTAAATATTACGTCAATGAGTTTATAAATGATGAGTATACGAATCTATCTTCAAAACTGATTATGAAATCATATTTAAAGAGGAATTTTCTTTTCAAAAAATCAACTTTTTCGAATATAATTAATCACAATCATCCTTAAAACAATTTAGCAAATGGGGTTTGAGTACGACGGAGTCACTTCGTTTAAGTTTAATATTTTAATTCGATTATACAAACTTAAAGTTTGTTGTGAGAACAGGGAACAATAAGAAATAAATATTCTGATTTGTTTTAACAAAATTTATTTGTAATCCCTTTGTTATGGTAGAAATAGATACAATTTAAGGTAAATCTCATCGAATCAATGGAATCTTTATGAATACTAAATAACATCTCTATGACTTAGCCTTTCGAAAACAACAACGAAAGGAATGTTATTTTCACAATCTATTTTACCCACAACAATCAAAAAAAACAATTGAATCATATAGTAAAATAGACATTGTCCGTGACGATTGAATCGTTTGAATTCATAAATATGCAGCAACACATCTCACAGCATTGTTCATTTTATTCGTCAAAAACTTGATCATATTTCTTATTTAGTTACTGTCATAATTTTTTAATCTACTTGACACGAAAATAGTGCATATGTATTGAACTCTCCGATTCATTCCATTGCGTTGAGATAACTATTCTTCATTCAATTCTTTCAAAACAACTATATAATTTATTTACTGAATTAGCAGAATATTACAATACATATGAATCATCTCGATTGTTTTATTACCTTGGTATGAAATCATTTTCTTCACCTCTTCTGAAAAATGAATATTTAATTCGATGTGATTCTACATTCTCTGATAAATTCTATCATTCTAAATGTTTTTTAATCGAATTTTCATCGTAAAATCATGAAAGTATTCTTTAGATTTTTCTTTTTGTAGTGAAGAAGATAAGAATGACATAATAAAGTTTTCTGTTATCTTTGTTAGTTAACCAGGCCGCATAGAAAAAAAAAAGGTTGATCAAACAAAGAGAATGATAACTGTGATATAAATTATTGACGTCGTGATGAAAGTCACAATAGAAATATAATAACGAATAAGTTGGTTTCAAAAAGCAAAAAACAAAAAAAGATATCAAAGTAGTTGTAAACATGGCTTGGTCTTGGTTTATTCTCATCAGTTGGTTTATATGTATACTTACATGTTATTATATAATTCGTCCTATTTCAATTAAATTGGTTCGATTTATTTTAACAAGTTTTTTATGTATATTATTAAGTTATATTACTTGTCAAAATCTTCCTCGATTTAATACATTGGCATTATTAACAATTGTAATATGTTGGTTAATGTCAATTCGTTTAATTGCTTTGACATCATTTTCAACAAGAACACCGTTAACATTTCAATCATTTTTATTGAAAACTCTTTGGATGTGTTTTCCAATTTTACCTAAAAAAACAGCACAAAATCAATGGCCTATTATATATAGTATAATATTAATCATAATTAAATTATTAATAAATCATTGGATTTATCGATGGTTTTTGAAATGTGAAATGGGAGTTAGTTATCAAAGAATTTTTATATTTTATTTATCTTTAATGACAATATCGTATGTTATTGAGATTGAAATGATTTTCGTTCGGATTTTAACTCTAGATAAATATACATTGGAATCATTTACCAATTTTCCAATATTTAGTACATCATTACGAGAATTTTGGGGTCGAAGATACAATCGAATTATGCATACAATTTTCAAAGAATCAATTTTTGAACCAATTCGATTAGAATTTTCATCTTCAACTATTGGAGCATTGACAACATTTATTATAAACGGTCTTCTTCATGTTCATATAGTGCTTGGTTCTTTTGATGATAAATCATCACTATTTCCAACTTTTATGTTTTTTCTTTTACATGGTATTGCTTGTTCTATTGAAACAAAAATGAAAATTCAACTTCCTAAATATGTCGGATGGATAATAACATTTATATTTCTTCTTATTACATCACCACTCGTAGTTAAACCATTTCTAGATAAAAGATTTATAATGCTTAATCCTCCACTATTTTTCGACGTTGAATGGATACCAAAATTACCTCCCCCTAATTTTTGTCCATGATAGACTATTTTCAAATATGATTGATACAAGACAAAAGAAAAAACCTATTATTTTTAATACATCAATTCGAATATTTATTTGACAAAGAAGATTCGTTTTTTTTTAACTTGCTAATAAAAATCTACTATTGATTTTGATTCATTTAATATAGAAGCATGTCACTCAACAATATTTCAAATAACTTAAGGAATTATTAGTGATACTTACAGTTCAAAATTCTAGATTATCCCGGCTTTTGGCATTTTTCTAAAAGATAATTGTTCTCAGTTTAATTTTTACGTAGATGATTAAAAATCCAAGAAAAAAAATGAAATACTTTGACAAAGTCCAAAAGTAAAATTATTCAAGTATTTAAATACACTCTGTTCAAGTTTTAACGAAACAATAGACATAATATTTATGCATATAACAAATAAAGAAATTTCATTTACCATTTCAAGTTCAAAGTATTAAGAGTAAAACTATTATATTAGCATCAGTATTAAAGTAAACCTCAATATTTCGATACTATTTCGATTAGAATTTATTAACAGAACAAAAGTTTTTGTACTGAAAGTGCCATTCACAAAAAAAAGTGCAATTTTGTTCTATTTTAGGAGTTTGTGAATTTAAAGTATTCGAGATTTAGTTGTTGACAGTCTATGTATTAGATTTTTAAAACAAGTGATAATTCTTGGACGTGAATATCATTCTCTAGCTATGAAAATAATTGTGTTTCTCTCAATGCTTACATGCTTTCTCCTTTATTTTCTAGATACTCTATTTTCCATTGAAACATTTTCCCAATCTCTCTAGTGCAAAAACAATCATCATCATGGAGTTGTGCAAGCTGTTGATGAATCTACTAATCGAACTCAAATATTGCCTCGAGAAGAACTAGAACCTATGCATTGTCATTCATGTTAAATTATAATAATTGTTTTTTTTTGTAGGATAAAGTAAAATATTGTAAAGTTGTAAAAGTTATTAGATTTTAAAAATCAAAAACATTGAGTGGCTTGCTTTTGCTTGCAAGCAAGGCCAGAAAAAAGAAGCCTGTTGACAGTTCTATTGTGAATTACATAATTGAAGTTGAACAATTAATTTAGGAAGGAATAATTGTATAAGAGTCACAGATAGTCCTGTATAACTTGGTTTATCAATCGAAAAATTGTCTATAATATGAAAGTAAGTTTGATAAAGCTTTATTGAGACCGCATTCGGATCCATCAATGGCTAATAGTGGGATGACAATAATTGGACAGAAAGCATTATCACTATCCTTCATAATGATGATATTCGACTACTTCATATCCTTAGTTGAAACAACTTCCTTATATAGCTGTCGCATCAGGAAACAGAAATACATGTCATATATAGTGAAAAGTAGCGCCCATAGAGTTGGGTCTGACGAACAAGAACTTAAGCAGAGATAAAGTATAATGGCCATTTACCATGGTAATCCTGACATAGACACTTTAAGATTGTTTTGCTGCTTCTATACTAGCTGATATCTTTTTCTCTCTTATCGTCTGCCTGCCTCTTTTATGTTATAACATCTCATCTTATCATCTGCTCTATTTATGTGGTGACATTTCTTGTTTCATTTGTGTCTATAAAGATGTTCGTGATGAAGCAAGTAATATGCAATTTTCTTGTTTTTCTTCTGATTACATCTATTTAACTTAATCGATACCTAGATTACTCTACCATTAATTGGTTTCATAACTTCTTTTATTATAACAATATCATCTGGTTGGCCCATCGTGAATGAAAACAATATTAATGTTGTTTCACTCAATATTGAAAATGCAAATACCGGCCAAATCATTCCATCTACAATGCATGGTGTTATTCTCGAGACAAATGTCAATAGGGATGACGATGGTGGTTTATATGCAGAACTTGTCTACAATCGTGCTTTTCAAGGTTAGTCATTTTCTTATTTTATATACGTAGAATGAATTCTGATAGATCTATAATATTTAGAAAAGGGTCAATCACTCGATGGATGGTCATCATTTGGACAAGGATCAATTGCTCTTAGCCCTTTTCAACCTTTGTCCAGTGCTTTACCGGTTCATTTGAGATATTCGCTCATTGAAAAGTCAATTTCACCTTCAGGTTTCAGAAATAATGGCTTTTATGGCATAAATATTCAAGCTCAAAACTATACGGCAAGCTTCTTCTATCGAGCATTAGGAGAAGCATATGTAGCAGGTGGTGAACTAAGTATTGGATTCAGTGATTCAACTGGTCAAATTATATATGGCATATCTACAATCGATGTATCCGTAGCTCCTGTTGATAAATGGTTCCCTTTTTCTTTCACTATTCCTGTCCTTAATGGTACTTCATCCGTCAAAAACTTTTTCTTCATTAAATTTCCTCCAGGCTCCAAGGGTGACTTTGAATTTAATCTTGTTTCCTGTTTTCCACCGACTTACAAAAATCGAGTCAATGGTGCTCGTATCGACATTGCACAAGCTTTTGCTGATTTAAAACCTGGCTATGTTCGACTTCCAGGTGGTAATGATCTTGAAGGTCTTACTATTCCTGAACGTTTTATTTGGAATAATACTGTTGGTCTTCTTGAGAATCGTCCAGGACGAAGAGGAACATGGACAGGCTATAATACTGAAGGTTTCGGACTGATTGAATTATTTACTTTTGTTGAAGATATCGGTGCAACACCTGTTCTAGCAGTTTACGCTGGATATTCATTAGATGGAAAAGCAGTACCTCAAGATGAACTTCAACCTTATATTGACGAAGTTATCAAAGAATTAGACTTTTTGACGGCTTCTGCTAGTAACAATAGTATGGGCGTTTTACGCGAACGTTTAGGTCGTAGTCAACCATTTGATATTAAATATGTGGAAATCGGTAATGAGGATATTTTTGCTGCAGATTCATACAGTTACCGTTGGCCAGCTTTTTACAATGCACTTTCCCAACGATATCCTAATATTACTTTTATTGCTACGACAACCAAATCTATTAACACTCCACCAGCTGTTGATGATCATGATTATCAAGTTCCATTGTTTTTTATAGAAAATTTTCGTCGTTATGAAAATATTCCTCGACCAAGTCCAAAAGTACTTGTAGGAGAATTTTCAGTCATCAACGATGATGATTCAAAAATTAGTAATCCATTTGGAGCAGGTCGACTCGATTATCCATCTATCAAATCTGCTGTCGCCGAATCTATCTATCGAATCGGATTTGAACGTAATTCAGATATTATTATTGGTGGTTGTTATGCTCCAGTTCTTCAAAATATTTTCAATACACAGTGGACACCAAATCTGATTGTTTTTAACACTAGTTCAGTTGTTAAATCAACGTCATATCTTGCTCAAAAAATGTTTGGCCAAAATCTTGGTAATATTATTCTCAATTCCACTGCTACAAATAGTTCCTTTACACATCAATCCGTACAAAAAGGACAAGAAGGAGATGGTAAACTTGGTAATCTTTACTTTGTTGCAACAAAACTCACCCATGAAAGTACGTTAATCCTTAAACTCGTAAATGCAGATTCAAATGATACATATGTTCGAGTACAAGTTCAAGGTACAACTCTTTGTTGCGAAGGTTTCATGGAGATCTTGACAGCTGGTTCGGGTGTTGATCCTACAACGGTGCATAATACTATCTCTAATCCAAATGCTGCATCGATTTATAGACGTCCTTTTTGGTCAATCAATGGCGCATTTTCAATCACAGTTCCTTCGTGGAGTGTTATGGTTGTTACTCTTCCTCTCTAATTTTATTGTCAAACTTTGTCTTCAAATAAAAGAATGCTTCTTTTCTATCAAAATACTGATCTTTAACATGAAATAATATCTACATAATTCAACGACTGTAAACAGAGAAAATACAACATGCACTATCTTTTATAATATAAACAAAGTATTGAGATTTTAGGTCTGAAATATTCACGTTTTTGCTTTCAATCTTGTTGGTGTTTGTCCATTGGTAAGAAACTTTTCAAAAGACGAACGCTCTGAACAGGTTACAAAAGAAAATTGTATGTGTAACGTAATCTTTCGATCGAAAAACGCTTCCACGATCGTGTAAATAATTCTCTACAGATAAAAATTTCTGTCTCGTCAATATGATATTAATATTTTCTCTCAATAGTTTTCAACTGTTTTGATTGTTCATCATAGGTATATAATAGGCAAGGGTGTGGGTGTGAAGTGTGGATCAGTAAAATAATCAACACCCACACCCACGACATAATTAGTACAATTGACCTTGTGTATTTCATCTTGTCACCCAATTGTATCAATAGATTTGTTTGCTATAATAAACTAATAAAAATAAGAAACAACGAAAAGCGATATCAAGTTTCAATCGTAACAGTGATAAAACTTAACGCAAGAAAAATCAAAACAAGCACGAATAACTAGATGTATTGGGCAAACATAAAATGGATTTTTGATGCGACTCTTTTTGCATTATTCGACAAGAAATCTCTGTTGTAGATAAAATATAGATTAAAAGAACAATGAGTTCTGTCAGAATTTATTCACTAGTGCGTTTTTTTTTATCAATGTAAGGCTCGTTTGTATGATTCTCCCAATTTTAATCGAAAGGTAAAAATATCTTCACCCATACTTCAATAACAAATTCTTACTGTAAAAATTTTCAAAAAAGTCTTGCATCTAAGATTTAGACATTTGGAATCGAAATAAGACTTGATGCTATTTTTGAAGGCAAAAATATTGTGTTTGAATGATGTAATAAATCAATTTTTGTTCGTCATCGTACACTAGAAGAAATAGCATGAGTAACAAAATGTTAATATTAGTCAATTACATGGTCTACAGAATGATTCTGAGCAAGTGAAAAACCCATAATGGAGTATTGTGCTTGGTAAATTGTTCAAAAAACTGCAATTTTCGATGGTTCCCATCGTGCTCTATCAAATAACTTTGTCTTTGCCTCTTTATGACATAAAATGTCTTGCGAAATCTCGTCCGATATTCAACAACCTGTGAGTGCATAGTATCTTACTATCAGTACTCAATAGTGCAACATGAAAAACTGAAGATAATGACAAGGTCTGGTAATGTAAGACAGTGTTGCTTATGAAATGAAAAAGTTGATTTTGTGATGTACATTGCCATCGACTACACTTCAATCTGTTTCATAGAAGCATTGTTCAGCCTTACTCTTGTGGTCGAACTCTTTTTTCACAGATTCTACAGAGAGATATGAATATTTCAGCGTTTTACGATCAATAGCGATATTACCCATCTATGTAACAATCATTCTCATGGTATTGAAAAAGAGATAAGCAGCAGGTGCAGTTATTGACATGATCATTTATTTGATAATTTAACGGAGAGATGAGAATTTTTGAACAGTTACAAACGGATACATGGATAAGAGCGGAACAGTCGATATTGACTCATGAAATAGAATACGAGAATATGATTAGTTACTAACTATTTATATGTTTAGTACGATAAGCTATGTGTGTTCGAAGTTCAGTGTCAATATGCGATACAAATCGGTATGCATCGATTTCTGTTAATCTAGCCGCTTTGACCTGCTGACTTGATTTGTCCATTTTCGATCACAAAAAGCCAGTTACGAACAACAGTTTTGACGCCTTCGAAAGGTGCTGCTAAGTGCATTGTTTGACCGTCGGATCGAGTTACTTCAATACGTTGAAGAGGACGAACTTCGCTCCACGTACCACGATCAACCGTCTTCTCATCAGCTTGATGGGTTTGACCTTGACCGAGATGAACTGTACTGTGTGATGTAACGTTGTTGTCTTCGGGAGACGATTCATAAACCAATCGAATTTGAACATGATCATCAGAATCGTTTCGAATTATACAATCACGTACGTAAACTGGCGGACGAACACATCCATGCGAACTCATGTTGACAGTTTGTTTTGATCACTTCGAAAGAACGACTGCTTGCCGATGGGTTATAATAGGGTACTTCTACACAATATGCACCATTTGTCACGACCATGAGAGAAAAGAAAAACAATTTCAATTGGCATATATTATCAACTATTAGAGATAAGAGAGAAATAGATGGCGTAATTGGATGAAAAAGTAATTGTTTATCTTTTTTTTTTGAAGTTTAATTCAATAAGATTAATTAGACAGGGGTTTGAAGCTCTAAATGACTTGATAGATGAAATTAGTTATTCGATTAGAAAAGTAAGTCTCAGAATAGTGAGATACATCATGACACCACAATAGCTTATGCATCTCTTCTTCCTTGTGACGATTTTATTAATCGTGAATGGCACGAGCACACAAGTAATATTGAAGATATGGTGTGGGTGTGGGAGGGTGTGATTGTAGGTGTGAGTGTGGATGTAGGTTTTGGTGTCAACCTACTCTTCACGCCGACACATTTACCCACATCCACACCCATACTTACCTACACCTACTCCCTCGGTCTTTTCACTCGACAAAACCGTCTATTTGATCTTATCGCAAAAAACGAATTCAATTTTTGACAATCACTTGTTGAGAATGTCTTGTGTAACAAATGTGAACATTTTGATGTCCACTAGATTTATTACTTCATACAAGTAAATATCTTTAGTATTCGTCATGTCATTAGAATGCTGACGTGACAAATAGGTTTATTCTTTGAAATATTTAGATCTTTGTTTCTTAAGCGTACAAGTTTGAGACTCGATAGTCGTCATAATGTAAAATTAGCAATTTGTCATTGTTCGAACAGCAATCGTGAATAATAGTTTTGTTTCATCTAAAATAGACATCGAATACTAATTTTAACACATGATTCAAGTAGGTTTCTTGGTTCTTGAGTGTTTATAGATTTATGATGACATTAGAATACAACCAAAGCTATATATAATGTGTCGTGATCCTTCGAGTTCTATAACCTGTAAGGACCTTTTTTTTTCATCGTTAGATCAATAACTAAACTGTTTAACTCGAAAAAACAAGGATATGGTATTCACAATCTTGAATAAAAAATTATTCGTTGCTTTTTACTATCACATGGCTATTGCACAATTCTGTTGAAAGTAAAAAAAAATTACGTTTTACTCATTCTCATCATCAAATTAGTATCGCTCACGTACTCTCGCTTTCGGGTTGACGTAAGAAAAAAAAAACACAAACGACATCGTCTTTTTTTCTTGTTTGATCGATAAACAGAAAGTAAAAATGTGTACTCTTATTCATTTCCTATTTTTTCCGCAAGTTCAAATCAAAATATTGAGAATTTAGAAGTTAGTCACATGGGTTTCGTTTATCGCAAGAAGCACACGTCTCTGCAACTGAGAAAATATTTAAAAATTATATTGGATAACTTATACAACCCATAATTGAATAAGATTTCAATCACCGACAAATATGGCAATATAAATTTTTTTTTTTTCTTCTACATCAATATTTTCACTGTATCACCTCAATCTATTTTTCTTTTTTTCGATATTTATTAAAGAAAAATCTTTCTTGTATTATCTTGGTAGAAATGACTACGTCACAAAGTTGTTCCAAATGCGAGAAAGAAACCGGAGCTTATTTTTGTATTGGATGTGAAGCATATTTTTGCAAGAAGGACTATCAATATCATCGGGAAAATATGACTGATGAATTAGATCGATTGATTGGCGATTGTAACGATTTTCAAGATCAAATTAACAATGCAATTCAAGATCAGAAATCCAATAGTTTCTTGCTCAAACGAATCGATGAAATCAAGTTTCAACTCACGAAATTTTCTCAAGAGCTCATTCGACTAAAAGAAAACGAAAATTTTGTCGAATATGACTTAAAACGACTTGAGCACACAGTTCATCAACTCAAACAAGAGTTGAAACGAATAACTCAAGCATCTGAAGTCAAGCTACATATGGAGCAAAGTAATCAAATTCCGTGGGATACTCTTATCTATGATGAAGAGCAACCTGTTTACATGAGAAAACAAGAATATCAACAAGAAGTTAAAAGTAAGTTCCTCAGCCGATTAGTTGTTCTTTTTGAAGATATCTATTTTTCTGATTTGTTTCACATTTGAAACGTTACAAGCAGATCGAAAATTCGTTAATGTTAAATGACTGTTTTTTAATCAAAACATGTTCATCTTTAACACGGAAACCTCTCAAATTTATGAATTACTTTTGAGATGAGACCTTCTGCATTAGATACGGCCTATAAAGACTAGACAAAACTTAAGTTGATAGTTCCCCATCGGTCTTTTCTCCTAGTTATGGCCATATGTATTAGGTTTTACAATAAAATGCCATACTTCACATCAGGTTACTCTAAAAATAGACTCTCAAGGTTCCAGCTGAAAGTTTATTCCAATGAATTTCTCAATAAGAATAGTTCATGGCGAGAGTTTTCGATCTTCTAGTACTTCTACTCGTTGAATGCGAATACTGAGCATTAGGTTAGAAAAAAAAGCAAAATCCGTTCTTCTATTCGAATCTCAGAAAAAAAACAGACTAGAAAATCGGAAACTTTCGCCATGAACTATTCTCATCGAGAACTTTATTTGAGTAAAATATAAACTCGACATTCGAGAGTCGATTTTTTAGGATGAGTCTTATAATAATAGCTATAGCTCAAGAGGAAAAGTGGCTGAAAATGAATTATCTGAGTTTTTGCCTAGTCTTAATAGGTCCTATCTAATGTATGAAGTCTCATCTCAGAAGTAATTTATAATTTTGAGAGATTTCTTCATAAGTAATCACTTTCACAACGATATAATCTTATTACAAAATGTAAATCTTCGTTTTCTGAGTCTCTTAGTATATACGCTTGTTTTTCAATGTGAATACAGGAAACATATTCATTTAGAACAAGAGCAAACTCGCACATTTGCTTATCAAAGAGGACTGGTATGTAAAGGTCATAGTTGTTCAACGTGTGGTAATTGTTGTGACTGGTATTATTGCAATGATTATTATGCAAAACGCAATGGTGCTACTTGCAATCGTGATTATGTTTCTAATCTTTTTCTTGATGATGTTCTTTCTTCAATTTATGATGATACTCTTTATAGTGATAATGATTCTCTTTATCATGGTATGAATATGATATGTAAATGTCAAGAAAATAATTAAGAAAATTTATTGCAATCAGAATTTTATTTTTTTTTCTTAATAAGAAGTGAGGGTGTGGGTGTGGGTGTGGGGTGGGGGTGCAGGTGTGGGTGCCATTGAAAAGAAGAAGATCAAGACCCACATCCTCGCTATTTTTATGCGGCAAATTACATGCTACAAAGAGTGCCATAGGAACGTCCAAAAAATTTTTCGTCTTAAATAAGCTCGTCATATTGATCACGAATTTGTGATCAAAATGTTACTACGATAGAAACTCGAGGAGGACGAAATTATGTCAAGTTTAACTATGATTTCAGCACTTGTGTCTGAACTTTCTAAATCAGTGCAGAGACTTTTTACACAAATATATTTTGGCCAAAATGCTGAACTTGAAGTCTACCACAATCGATCGAATTTTCATAATGAACGCACAAATTGAAATTGTAATCTCTATAGAAAAGTGCACAATGAGTGATATAGTCTGATCTAACTGGTTCACATTTTAATGTATTGGTACAGCTTTGACCAAATCTTATAAAGAAAATTTTTCAAATGAGTCAGAGTCTACAGCTACACTTTATTTTCGTACTTTTATTTCAAAATTGTAATGGAAAAAAATGCACTATAAAAGAGAATAAAAAAAATCACTAGTCACTCTCTTCATCGTCGTCAGCAGCAGTCTTTGACTTTGTAGCTGTTGTTGATTTACTGTTATCAATAATCAAGTTACAATTCACTTGAGTTTTCACTTCGTTCCCACTAATTGTTGTTGTAAACTTTTTTCCATTCAAGGACCAGCCAAGACTACCAGTTGAAAATTGTTTTGCTTTACATTCTTGTTTATCCAAGACAACATTTCCACTTTCATCAGTTATTGTTAAGTATAAAGATTTTCCATCAGATAGAAACTGTTGAGAAGAGAGAGCAGAAGATGAAGACTTTGTTGTTGTTGTTGTTGGTTTGTTCTTAGATGATGATGAGTCAGACTTTGTATTAGACTAAACAGAGAGAAACTTATTCAAAAATGTGTAGCTTAAATTTTGTTCAAAACACTGACACATCCATAAAAACATACACTCAGAATTTACATTGTTGTTCCAGTTTTACATTTCTTTTATTATCTTGAATCGTATGAAAACTTGTCAAGAGGGACCAAAAACTGTGTATTATTATCAGATTATCCAGTTAATGGATAACTTGCACTTACCGCAGTAGTAGTATTGCTACTATCTCTTTTGCGTTTAGAAGACGACATAATCAATACACCTTCTAAAACACAGAAAATAATATAATGTATCTATCTGTCTGTATGTCTTCTAAGCAAGCGAAAAACGCGGAGTAATAGTACAACGACACAAGATATTTTTACTATTTGTCCCGAAGAAAAATGAAAGAGAAAAAGAAAAGGACAAGCTGTGTATGTGGTAAATCAGTTACACATGAAGATTTTTTTCTTTCTTTCCTTCCTTTCTTTTTCTTTTCTTCTTCAATCATATTCGCTTCTGTTTTACGTATGTTTTCAAGGCCGTTCATCTCTTTTTTCTGATTAACCTTGTTTGTATTCAATTCTTTCGAATTGTTTTTTTGATCTAAACATTCTATAACTAATTCATCGTGAAAATAGTGAATGATAAGATGGCAATAATCAAGTTGCCTAAACTCTCACGGAGAATGTTAGCGTCAATAGAGGTCACTCTATTACCGCTAACTGTCTAGTTGTTATATAGTAATTTTCCTCCTTTCTCTCTATGGTCCATATATGTATTTCCATTGAACTTTCCAAGAATAGAGCAAAAGAGTCTAAGACATTCCATAAATGAGAGTCTTACAATTGGTGGAAAAGTTAGGCAGCTTCTGTCTGCATTTGTTTGTCTCTTTTTTCCATTTTTATCTATTTATCATATTTTCATTCTCATATTACCTTTTCTTACTCGTAATCATTTCTCTACATATATTCATTGATCATCTTTAAACGAATAGTGATGATCGTATTTCTCATTTAAATAATTCGTCATATAAACCGATAACTATATAAAACACTACATATCAATCAACATCTACTTTAAAAAATACACACGATCCTAATTTATTGAATTCGTTAAACAAAAATCTCAAGAAATCAATTATATCGTTATCTCATTTACCTACAAAATTATACGAGATATTCAAAATGGTTAATGAATCTGATGATTCATAAAATAAAAATTATTCATCAGAAGAAACAGAGAAACAATCTCAATCCGATACTAATACTACTTCAACAAAACAAGCAAATAATTATTACAATAACAATGACTCATTACTATTACTGGTAGAAAAGAATGAAAATCTCAGTAACAAAGAAACAATGGACAATGAAAACAATTTCGATTCGTTTATTTTACAAAACTTCACTCCCTTTTCTGGTAAACAAGATGTTAACTTATGATCACATCATACCCAAAAAAGATTTGATCGATTATTAATATCACGGAATTTATGTTTCACCGTAATTCCATTATTAGTTCGAGGTTTCTCACAAACGATCTACTTAAAGAATCGACGAAATATTCAATCGTGTGATGATTTTTACGAAATTTTGTTATTACACTTTGATAAGAATGGAGTTCAACCGACGCATAATAATCAACAAGAAAATACTATATTACAGTTAGACCTAGCTTCTCAAACAAAATTATCAGAAAACAAAAATTTACGACCTATGATGACGTTCGATAATACATATTTTTCTGAAAAACCACCAAAACATCATCCTACCGCATTAATTGAATCCGATGCTGCTGCTTCGAGTGACGAGATACCAGCCTTTCAATCAATAGTAGTTACTAACAATAATGCTATCAATCATAATACATCAAACTTCAACGATACTACAAGAGTGCGGGTGTGGGTGTAAAGATAGGATCCACACCCACACCCTTCTGACGAGAGACACCACTTTCTTGACTCAGCCGTAGATTACTCAAGCAATTATTCTTCAACATGTTCTTATACAATCCATACAATTAATAACAAATATTTTAACAACTCCATTACCAATCAAGATGTTTGTAACACAGTTTCTTCGATTCATCCAATGATGGGCAAAGATATTCGTGGATTAATTAACAAAATTCAACATCAACAACAACATGATACTCTTCGTTCACTCTTATTCTGTTTTCATCAGATCTTCAATACTACTAAACATAGCATTGCCAATAAATCGATTTATCATGTAATAAATACAACTCCACACACTCTACTAGCGTGCAAATCATATCCACAGCCGGACAAAAAAGAAGGGTGTGGGTCCTCTCTTTATACCCACACGCCCAAACCCACACACCCATAGCCATACCCGCACCCACACCACACACCCCATCTACACTCCCATACCAACTTCTTACCCACATCACACACCTACACCCCATACCCACATCTACATCTCAGATCCATCCCATACCCACGGTCGAGACTTACCCCACACCCACACCATACACTCATATCCTCTCCCACACCCCCACTTCATACCCACACACACTCTCCCATAACTCGCCTACACCCGCACCAGCACCCTAAATCATTATATTAGGTTACATGTTTGTTTTTGTACTGTCATTGGTCAAATACAATAAAAGTGATCCATTGTGGTTCATTTCATGTGTATAGGCTCATTGATTCACCTGTTCCAAATGGGTGGGTGTAGGTCATCTCTTCACCCACACCCACACCCAACCCTCAACACTACGACTGTGTTTCAACTTTCTAATGTATGTTTCGAAAAAATAAACCTCTCACTATTTTAGACATTATTTTTTGTGGAACTCACATATGTTTTCGAAGAAAATAGTGAGTGTAAGTCTTAAGTTCGAGGTTTGGCGGCCCCCCCCCCCCCATTACAGACCATAGCAACGAAGAATAAAAGGTGTCATATTTTCTAGAGTTTGAAAAATTGCTCAAGTTATAATTTTGAAGATTAGTCAACATCATTGTTTGTGAGTTGATTAACATATATACAATAGTGCATAAGATGTGCTGTAGATATCATGGATATGTAAAATAGACTTATTTGTCGATCCAATGATTATAATAATAAGAATATTAAATTAAAAAAACACGCATAAAAAAAATAAAAAATAATGAGCGAATAGCAACAATGCAAACAAAAAATAGGGCGCCGTAGAAAAAAGAAATTTCTATTTTAAATGTAGAAATAAATTTAGGAATAAATAATAAATTCTCGCTCTTGTCATCGATTATTAGTGAAAACAACTACAGTTGACGAGAATTTTTTCAGTTTACGGATGATGTATTAGGACAACAAGGTTGAAGGATATACGTGAGTTCCACATTTCAGCTCCGAAGGAGCTGCGCTAACAAGCTTTTTTATTTCAACTTTCTGAATTAATTTTTTTTCGAACAGTGTTCTATGAAATTCTCTATAAGATGGCATAATTATCTGAACAAAAATATCTTTTGTTGATTAAACATTCATCTGAAAAAATGTCTCAATGCTTTTGAAAATAGTCTTTTTTGATTCTTCACAATGCTGCCACTTGTTTTAGCAGAACAAATTTCCTTAAGATTTGATGATAGTTTATCTATTGTATTAATTTATCGTAGTTTTAGAACATGTTAGACTTCTTCATTTTCGACCTGATTGGCAAAGCATATAGGTTATCATCAAATCTTAAGGAAATTCGTTCTGCTTAATCAAATGACAGCATTGTGAAAAATCAAAAAAAGCTATTTTCAAAAGCATTGAGACATTTTTTCAGATGAATCTTTAATCAACAAAACATATTTTTGTTCAAACCATTATGCCATCTTATAGAGAATTTTATAGAACACTGTTGAATAAAAGATTTAATTCAGAAAGTTGAAATAAAAAAAATAATGTCTAAAATAGTGAGAGGTTCGCTTCTTCGAAGCATACATCAGAAAGGTGAAACATATTCGTAGTGTTTCTCTTTCATCTTTTTTTTTCTTTTAAAAAAAAGAAACCATAAAATACATGAATATATATTTTCGAGTATTCTCTTTCGAATGGAAAAAAATAAAGTGTCTCCGATATTTGTGTGCAGCATGAAAATGAAAATAAAATTAATGCAGAACTTTTGCGCGACTCGCTATATCGAAAATTAAAAATAGAAAAACAGTGTCATAGTATCATTTTTTGTTAATAAAAAACAAAAGGATTATTTTTAAAATAAAATGCAAATTATTATTCATCAAATCTTCTTTATTACAGATAGAATTATAAAATAAGAAGAAACTCTATGAATGCTTCATACTATACTATAAAGCATATATGCTATTAATAATACGATAAGAACAGAATTTTATTTATTTTTTTTTCGCACAATACATTCATCATAAATAATAAAAATCACTACAGTTCAAATGACCTCTCAAACTTTACAAATGAGTGATTGGTCAACAACAGAAACTTATCCATCTCATCATCAAGATTTGTCAAAAGGAACAAATGAGAATAAAATCGTTCCGAATGATGCTTGGGTTGCTGATGTTAATCAACATCATTCAAATGATCAGAGCAACAGAGGGTAAGAAGAACTAACGATCGATACAGGTTCAATATACATCGCATTGTCATATGTTTAGATGGATATTATCAAGCAAACTATCAGAATGTTACACATCATTATCACCATACTTATATGGTCTATTATTAGGTGTAGTCGTTGCTGGTTTAATATTGGCTGTTATAACTGCACTTTGGTTAACATCATCTCAGAACACATTGACAACAACGGGTAAATACATAGATTCTTCTCTGACAGTTTGACTTAAGTTTCGTTAGATAACAACTTTTGAAATAATGACGTTACATATAAAAACCTACTACTCTATAAGTTTTTAGTCTACCTCTTGGGGATTTGCCATTTTTTATAAAGATGAACTCAAGTAGACAAAAATGGATATCAGAAATCATTCGGTCTCTTTTCATAGTTTGATCCTCTTTCCTGCTTCCAGATGGGTGTGGGTGTGGGTGTGAATGGAGTGCCAGTGTTGATGCTGGTGACAACAAGATCCTCACCCACACGCACCCGCGGTTATTTTCCATTGAAACCGTAATAACACAGCATAAAAGCAGCCGTTAACCTCCTAGTTGATTGAAAAATTAAACCGTCAGACGCTGATTAATTGATTGTTGTGCAGTTAACGTTTGGTTGTTTATGCTTTGTTACTGTGATGTCAATTGAAAATAATCGAAATTAACCAACGGTTTCGAACGGTTCATACAACACGGATGAAAAACACTTTTTTAAATGAGTTTTTTCGAAGAAATAGCGGAATTCCTTCACAAAAAATGTTTACAAAAGAAGAGTAAGAAAAGCTACCCAAGCTAGCTTCATGTACAAGCAAGTTTGTGGCAGAAACTGTGTTGTATGATGAAGTCGATTTTTGTCAAACTAGAAAGCCAAGTCTTGGCTTGTAATATCCCCAGTATCTATGCTGCAGATAGTAACTTTAAATAACTTACACGTTAGCAGTCAAGAGAAATTAATAATTTAATATCAATAATATATTGTGATAAAACGCATCTTCTCTCAGCATATTTTACACGATAGAGGTATAGCTCCAATGTAATCAGCAATTTTTGTCTTCGTCTATTACGTCGCGTTATAAATCTGCAAACGTGAAAATGATGATAGAATATTTTCGAGTATATATATACCCAATCTATTGATGAAGGTTATCAGAATAAGTTACGTCCATTCTTCTATGGTTCAGACAGAAGTATGTAAATAATTGCATCTTTTCAGAGCGTATTTTTTTCTTCTGTCTCTCAACTGTGTGTGTATTTTGGCTCGTAATGGTGCATAAACGCAGAAAGTACAGATGTATAGCACATGTTTTCCAAGTTAATAAAGTTAGAAAGATTACGTCAAAAAGATGGCGTTGTCAAATGAAAACCAATGAGGATGTACAGGATGCTCCGAAAGTCCGATCGAAAAAAAAAGTAAATATCTTCATCATTGTTTCATTAAACTTTAAGGTTCTTTTGTTTGTTGGAGAGAGGAATATTCAAAGTTTTTTTTTTTGTATGTTTGGGAATTTTTGTTAAGGTTTATAAAAAATGATCAGGTTTTGTGGAACTTACATATATTCTCGAAGAAAATAGTGAGTATAAGCTTTTAGTCGAAGTTTTTAGGGCTCCCCTCCCCTACATCCCATAGATGTGACAGACCTCGTTATATGAATATGTGAGTTCTACATTTTAGCCCCAAAGGGGCTGCGCTAACAAGATTTTATTATGATTAAATTCTGTTTTTTTGTAACATTTTTTAATATATGATGTACTGTAACACGTTTTCAAAGTCCCAGGTCCCAGATGTACGGCGGGAAACCGCCTGATCCGGTGAAATTCCGGCTATTTCAGGGTGGCAGTATTCCCAAATCGGTTCCGGCTTTCGTTTCCTACTTAATTCCCGTCAGTTCCGGAGTCCGAAAAAGATGGCCGGATACAGATCCCTGTTTCCGGTATGGTTCCCGCGCCTGGTTCCAGCGACTTATGACGGTGACAGGATACGAGCCATAAACTGTCATTTCCGGTATGGTTCCCGCGCCTGGTTCCAGCGACTTATGACGGCGACAAGGATACGAGCCATAAACTGTCGTTTCCGGTGTGGTTCCCGCGCCTGGTTCCAGCGACTTATAACGGCGACAGGATACGACCCATAAACTATCGTTTCCGGTATGGTTACGAAGCCCAGATCCAGCCGTTTGCATTTTCGCTATGGAGTTCGGATCCGATCACAGGATACGACAAGATAGGACTCGGATCCCGCTAGTTCCAATTGAATGGATTCAACTTTTCAGTAAGACTCACACCCACCCCCACATCCTACTCATGGGTTATCCTATGGACGTACCCATAAGTACTCATGAGCTATCCTATGCAGGTACCCATAAGTCCTCAAGGGCTATTCTATAGAATTACCGATAGGTCCTCAAGGGCTATTCTATAGAAGTACCGATAGGTTCTCAAGGGCTATTATATGGAAGTACCCATAGGTCCTCAAGGGCTATTCGATCGAGGTACCCATAGGCCCTCAAAGACTATTATATTATAGAAGTACCCATCGGTCCTCAAGGGCTATTATATGGAGGTATCCATAGGTCCTCTAGGACTATTATATGGAGGTACCCATAGGTCCACAAGGGCTATTATCTGCAGGCGCCTACAGGTGCTCTAGAACTATTATACGGAGGTTTCCAAAGATCCCCATGGGATATCCTATCGAAATACCTATAGGTCCTCAAGGGCTATTATATGAAGACTCCCAGACGTCTTGATGTCCTACCCTACACAGGTACCCATAGGCTCTTAAGGACTATTATATGAAGGCACCCATGGATCCTCAAGGGCTGTCATATAGCGTGCCTATAGGTCCTGAAGAATATCAAACAACAAAGAGACAAGACTACCGATGCTAGAAAGGATCTAACACAAAAAGAACACCAGGGTATTTACGCAATCAAAATATGTGCCATAGCACAGTATGAGGCACTAAGGTTTCGACCATTATAAATTATATCGCGTATCGATATGCCAGTTACCGGCTGAAAAGTTAAACGTCTCTAGTCAGTTTTTGAATAAGGAACAAGTCATGTAGGATGCTTCCCTTCTCGCCGGTAATCACATAAAACTCAGCGCACTTGGAAATCTACCATAAACTCCAATTGCCTTTGTTGTTGACAAGCGGCCTCGACTACGAGCAGCCTTACACGACATCCTAGAGTTCATCCCGGTCGCTGACGAGCTACAGTTAAGCGAAAACGAAAACAATTTCGAGGTCCCAAAAAGACGCTTAAAATACGCCTCAATAACCCTTTCTCAGGCATAATCTCTCATTTCAGTAGCACTGTACGAGGTTATGGAGCTCATTCTTGTCAAGACCGACTCAGACATAACATGAAAAACAAACCAAGTGCCAACTCTCACGAGACAATTCTCATACATCACAGTCGGTCATTCAGAGACATGGGCACTCCCATAAATACGACTGTACCACGTGCTAGACTTCATTCCAGACAGAAACCCGTTAGCGGTGAGTTCAAAAAAACAAAGTTCGACGTCTCACGAGGACGCTTTTCCTATCTTTACATGACACTTTTTGAGACATCGTCCCACTATAAATAGAGGCGCACCACGCCATAGAAAACTTTCCACGGAGAAACCAGTTATGGTAAGTTCAAACAAAACAAAGTTCGAAGTCCTCGAAGAACGATTTTCCTACCTCTCGAGGACTCTGTTTCAAACGTGATCTCCAGTATAAATAAGGGTGCACCAGGTGTTTGGGTTCACTCTGAAAAAAGCAAAGTTCAAAGTCCTCGAAGGACGATTTTCCTACCTCTCGAGGACTCTCTTTCAG